ATTCAGTAATTAAAGAAAAACAATTATAATACTGACGAAGTATCGAAAACCTACATAACCCGACCAAGTTCGGATGGCTACAAAAAAGCGGCTGTTCAATATATTTAGGTAACATCCCAAAATTTACAGTATAATACCGGTATTGAATTGGTACAGGTGATAACACACTTGTTGTTTCGAAATAATTTATAGGTCATTTATTTTTGGACACCTACTTTTTTAAATGTATTTGACTATGACAGAAAGTAGGTTCTATTTACGTAGGTACTTTATTTAAATATGCGCTTGAGATTTGAGATATAATCTAATTATATTTAAGACAAATAAAATTCATACAGCTAATTTCTATTGAAGATTTCACGGATCAGGATTCTAACTATAGACCCCTTAGGGAAATTAAATATTTACCACATGTAAGTACTTAAGTACTACTGTTTAGGTAAATATTTATCATATTGTAGCTTATTACACTATTTAACCAATATTTTTTATTACACTATTTAACCAATAGAGGCATGCACGAGCGTGTGTACGATACTGTGTTTAATTTTTTCCTAACCCTTGTGTACGATAATGTACCATATTAATAAATGCTATATTGGAAAGTTAAGAACGTTTCTTAGATATATGGCACGGCCGCTTTTTTGTAGCCATCCGAACTTGGTCGGGTTATGTAGGTTTTCGATGCTTCGTCAGTATTATAATTGTTTTTCTTTAATTACTGAATTTAATGACATGAAATTTTGCATGTGAATAGTTGAATAAATACACTAATTATTGGCATACATTTTACCATGCAATTCATTTAGAACGTCGTGATATTTGACTGCTTTGTAAACAGTGATCTATTCATGGTAAATTTGTCCTATAACTATTTAATTACTAACGGAACATCATTGATACTTGGCAACATGTTGCAGACACTTACAAGGTTTGTATAAACGTGAAAATCTAGACCCTAAAGTGCATACTTTAAGAGCTAAGACCTAATAAGCGTATTTTACGTTTATATTTTTATCTTTTAAACCCTACGATTTTTTCGAAATCTGTTTTTTAAACAAATATACACAAATTCAAAACAACGTATGTAAAAATCTACAGCTCTCTATGTAAGCGCTTTATATGAAAACTAGCTAATGGCCAAACGTTCGCGTAGCGGAAACTTGAATTTCTCCGAAGTTTATGCATGCACTAGTTTTATTCATACATACACAATTACACACAAATACACACTAATTTTTGGATACATCTCTTTTCTTCTAAAGTCTATGGATTAAAAAAAGTTCCGCCAGGACAACGTTCGCCCAGCGGAATCAGTTTTTGGTGAATTTCTCCACAATGGTTGCGTGCACAAATTTTTTTTTACCATACACAATTATACGACGTCATACACTAAATATCTGCATAATTAAAATCTTTAAATTCAACAACATTCCGCTGCACGAACGCACGCACATTGTCTACGCTTCAGGTAGATACCTACCTCCAGAACGAAGGTTTCTTCTTATCCTCGAGATGGAAAATGAAGTTTATAATGATTGATGATGATTCAAAAATTTAAAACTTTACTGAGTGAAGACAATTATCAAAATATTTCTTCCGTCCTGTGTGGGTCCACAGCGGCGACAGAGACTAACTTACTTCTGACAAATCATTCATCTTTTGAGCAGGGAATGCTCTTTGTAATGGGAAATCTGCAGCGTGAAATGTGTGCGGGACTTCCACAAAATGGTTGCAATGATATTTTATAACGTAATGTAGCAAATTACGGTTAGTACTTAATTATCAAATTAACTTATGACATGTTGTAAGTTCTGCTGGAGTCAGGTCATTATCGCGTGGGCTGAGTCGTCATATGACGAAATCTCCTTCCATCAGTGTCAGGTACCTACATATACCTACACAAAAAGGTAACGTGCATGCCTCCAACTAACCAACGCATTACCTGATAATGTGAAGCAATCAGTGCCGCCCATGGATACTCGCAACAACGGATTGAGATACGAGTGCGTTGCCGACCTTTTGGGGATTAGGGATTTGGAGATTTAGGGATTTAGGTTTGAGGGAGGGGAAGGATTGGGCCGCCGGGCATACGGCGAAACACAACGCTGTGGTTGTTTCACGCTGATTTGCTGGGAGCCGTAGTATCACTCGATGTGATGAAAGCGAAATGATTACTTTTTCCATTTGGGTGAAAAGAATTTGTTTACTGAGGTAGGTAATTGGATTAGTTGGCTATCTGATAAGTGATAGCTGTATGTAATGTCATCCTTTGTAGACAGAACCTCGTTTAGGGTGTCACCAAATCACTTGAAAGGTAGACAATATGTAGACAGCATTATGATGAGTTTAACTGTAATTTTGTTGGCTCTCTAGTTTAAATGTTCCAAGGTTTAGGAGCACGAGGCTACACTAATACAGATTCTTATCATTTTCCATGTCCGAGGAGGTTAGAGGTCGAGGAATGAAAGGCTGTACCTACTTGGATTACAGTAGGTAAGGGAGGCACCCTTATTAAAATCTGGCAATTCTATTTTATAGGTAGATTCCTTTACATTAGTATTATTTTATTCTTCTAAATAAGTATCCACTTAACGAATTTGAACCATGGGCACATAGATATATAATAAGACATTCTTGAATACCACATATATCGTACAAGAAGTAATAAGTGGAACCTAAGTATTTTCTGTAGACAGTCACGAAAGACTGGACATTTCAAAGATTTAGGAAAGACGCGTGTGAGTGTGTGTGTACAACATTTTATAGGTACTTGTATGAATATAGGTACAATGTCACTACATTTAAAACTCATCGATATAGTTTGATGGACGGGTGCCCATGAATTTACGAATCTATGTAGTCAATATCTTTAGATTACACTTTGTATCTATAAGTGCGTATCCACTTAGATCAATATGCAATATGTTTTAAGCAATGTCAGTTGGGCTATCAGCCAAACACCTCGGCTTCAAAAGACATATATACTCACAGATACATAGATATGCATTTCATCATTTTAATCTTTAAAAAGTTATCTTAGATGTGACTAGCACGTGTAACACTGATGTTGTATATTATAATAGCTTCACTTTATTTTAACGAATTTATTTTTAGAAAAAACTGTAGGCACATATTCTAAGCATTTCTCCTAAGCCTATCTACATTAATATTTAATACACACCTCTACTTATCCCGTCATGGAATAATAAAACGTATGTTATATTATGATTCAAATTTTCTTTTTCAAGGTTAAACGATGATAAATGTTTAAGAATATCGTACATAAATAAGTAGGTACATGGCTTACCTGCATTACGGTTTTGGTTTTTACATTACCTACCAATGACATAAAATTGACCTTGGTTGACTGGGATTTTTATGGCGTAGGGTGGCAAACGAGAAGGCCAATGCTAATACTTAATAAGCAATCGGGATATTTAATCAATCGCGATGTAACACAATGCAAATATTGTTTTGCGCTTGTTTCCTATGAAGCCGTAGTAGATATCATTCTGATCAAGCTAAGCCATTCTCTCCAAAGAATGACTCTCCGACGTTATATATGTAAATAACAATAAGATAATTGATAAAAAACTACGAATGACACTGATAAACCAAACTATTCAGTAAGTAGATAAATCATGTGTTCGACCCACTTTGTAGGTAAAGTGTGATAGGTCTTGGTATCTAGAAGGCGAAAGTGTGTGACAAGGGATCTTGGGTTTAATTCCTGCTTGGCATAGCTGTTCGAATTTTATAGAACTTAGGATGGACTTGGACTTTATATCTACGGCAACACACCTGATGATTGATCTAGGTTACACATCTTATTTATAAGTAATGCAAGTGCAAGTTGTAAAAGTGAGCAAATAAATAGGTACCTATTCTCTGTTTATCGCTTCAGGGATAGCTGAGGTCGCGGGTCAAGTGGTACCGCAATAAGGTACCGCGGCCTGGGCCTAAAGCAGGAGAAGGAATGGGGTTATATAAGATAGTAAGAGTCAAACACTCCCTCTTGCCATACCCTGGGCGAGAAGTCATTTGATGCTTTTCCCCTCCAAAAAAGAGGGATATAATACTTAGTCGTGATGTGACTAATATGTATGATGCCTTATTTCACAATCTAGGTAGAAACTTTGATATACCTGCCCTTTTAATAGGTTGTGTAATTATTTGTGATCGCTATTAAAGATTTTACGTACAAATACTTAAGTCATTAAATATTATTTTACAAATCTCAACATGATGAATAGTGATGTGTAAAGATACACTTAATTTGGTTCAAAACTATTTAAAAAAATATCTGTAGGAGCAAACTTTGACAATGTTTTACCAATTAGGTACTCGAAACAGGTTTAGTCCGAATTTGATTACGAACCATTTGATTGTATAAAACGAGGAATTTGTACCGGGATTTCTCTTAAACTTGTGGTCATGAACAACCTATATACCCTTTTCAAAAGTACAAGTTATTATTTCTATTGCATACTTACAGTGAAGTAAGTAGGTACATATTATTTTTACGTACTTAATTGAAATGATCGCGGGATGCAGGCTGCAGCTAAACGGTCGATTTGCGGGCGTCGTCCACATTCTACCTACAGTGAATATCAAATGTAGGTATTGAGATTTTGATAATGACGATGATTATGTTGGTAGGTAGCTGTTTTGTATAGGTACCTTAGTATTTATTTTGTTTTAAACCTGTTTCTTTCATTAGAGATCGTTAATCGAATTTACGGTGACAGTGTTCCTCCATTTTGGCTGTGGATCGTAGGGCTGCCCTTCTGCTATCCTTTTCAATGAAAAATCAAGTCATAATAAACAGGAAAGACACACCGCCATTTTTTCCTCATCCTCTGGATCACAAGCAGGTATCTGTTACTTTATCAGGTTAGTAAAGTTTAATACCGCATCACAGCGGGTATTCATAAAAACCATCAACCTTTGTTGATTGCACGTGATGTCACCAACATTACCAACTGTATGAGATGAGAAAAACACGTCTGTTGAGATGGATTGGAGTACACGCACCGGTGCCTCTCACTGGAGTGCAGCGAGAGGTGCCTTGACACGATAGTGGTGGTAAGTGGCAGCCGCTCCACGCGGACGCAAGCTCAGTATAGTGTCAACAACTCGCGAGTGTTGCAGCGCACTCCGCTGCCATTTGTAAAAGGCTCCTCTATACGCTAAACGTCAACAGTCAACCTCGCAAGTAAGTCTCAGTTTAAAACCTCTTAGAAACAATGTTTATAAATACTTGTATTTCCTGCTTTGCGTCCTTGTTGCTCTGCTCGTATTGCGAACAGTTTTGTCTCCTTTAAAGCCTTCAAATAAAAAGACTTTTAGACATAATAATTATGTAGGTATATCAAACAACAAATTAAATAGTTCACTTCATTTTAGAATTCAAATTACTTACCTACAAGTGAAAAGCCTCGGCTGTCACTATTGATGTTTTTTGTGTATCACAACTGAGTACACATTATGTGTATTTCAAAAGTATAATTGTGTCTTCTCAACCTGAGGAGTTACATGGAATTTCGACTTTATCAATCTTTAAATTATTGAGCAGGTATATACCTACCTACTTGTATTGTGCAAGTCGTTATGTTTTTGTTTTAAACAGCGAGCGGTCTGCGAACATCTCAACAAGCTGTGTTTGTAAACATATTGAGATGGAGAACCAAATAATTAGTAGAAAAATTTGTCTGAAATTTGTTGAATCCTTAATTTTATGTAGTAGATACTTAAATACTTTTTACTCATTTTTTTTCTATTAACTGTACCTAAAGTTTAATGAACAAATTCATTCAACTGATAATGCGAATGTTTTGTTGACTATTTCTTTACCTGTGTGTTAACCCCAAGACCTACATACTTAAAATAACAAATTAATTTCCAACAAAATTAAGTGCTATTACATTCAATTTTATCGCATATTCCTTTGAGTCACCTAGAATAGTTAACAAAGGTTTCGATGTATTATAATTTTCCGTGTTATCAATAGGAATTTTCGTTCATGCGTGCCGTAATTAGCTCCGTTTGGTGTTCGTTTGTTATAACATTAAGACTGTACACAATGTACAAGGTCATGGTCATGGAAACACTGATTTTAATGTTTTAAGACGTAATGCCACATCAATTTTCCCCAAGGGTCCTAATTAAAAATAAATCCAAGCAACAACCGTCACTGAAAAAAAAAACGACAGATAGGTATTTTTTTTAAGATTGTTTCGAATAATGAATTCCAATTGGGTAGTCTAAAATAAATTAGTTCGACGTTCCAATACAATAAAATATTGAAAAAACAACTACCTATACCTACATTTATTCATCGATCTGTCGAAACACAAAATTTTCGATTTTTTTTTTAATTTTTTAAGAAAGAAGTAAGCTATTTGGTTCAAAAATACTATGATCGTATTGTAGTTCGTTAGTATCGTTCTTGACACTTAGATTATTGAAGTTGACTAGTTGGAAACTATCATATTTCCCTTGGTCCGATTATAATGGGTTTAATGTGTGTTGTATCGTAAGTTCTTATGGAAAAAAATAAGTACTGGCTGATGATGTGGGAAGACGCGGGCTCCATTCATATTTTTGTAAGCATTCGTAAAACCATACCGTGTTTCAGTGGCTATCATGCCAGTTTATTGCGCATGAGGTATATATAAGGTAAACCTATCTGAACACATAAGGTAGAAACTTAACTGAACACATTCTTAGGTTCAGACGAGAGATGACAGGAACAGAAATGATTAAGTACCTAAATAATAACACAAAATTGCAAATGCGTTCTTCTAAACTGTCATTCCGAGAAATAATAATGTAACTTTATAATTATAAGCTATTAAATATGAACTATGACAACAAGGCCTTAGGAACTGGTAGTACCTACATTACCTGTCACTTGTATGTTCTATCTTAGTTAGGGGTCTCAAGTCGGTAAAGAGCTCTTTTAATGGGTGATCAACCTGATACTAATAAAGCAATTGTAACCGCCTAGAGACACTCGCTACCTTAACACCAGAGGAATTAAAAGTCCGTTACCAGTAGTTTGGGGGGATTTGAGGATTGGAGATTGAGATGGGAAGATTTGGCTTACGGTCCGGATTGGGAGCCTCACACTGTGAAACACGATGCAAGCTTTATTTCACGGCAGTGACAGTCAGCCTATTCGTGGAGATGCATAATGGTTTGTCCACACTTCAAATTCTTTTTTGCTTCACATGAATATTATTTGTAGGATAGGTCTTCGGCCTATCTTTTGGTAGATAAACGCGCGTAGTTGTATCTGACGACAATGACGACGTACATTACCGTATAATTAAGTACATACACTATACATAACAGTTCTCCGTTGGAATTGAAATTGAAATTGATTTATTACATTAATTTTATTGCAGGGAATACAATGAAATTAATTAATTACAACTTTAAGTATATTATTTATCATTGAGGTACTTGTTAACTTGAGTGTTTTAATCAGAGTGTTAAGTAAATTCATTGGCAAAGTGAAAACACGTTGTCCTATCAGATGCACCTATTTACTTATATTTAACTGCTTAGTTTTAGAAATAGAAAAGTTTCGACGACGGTTAGTAATTTAACACATTAAAAGTAAATATTATAAACTGAACAATAAAAAACGTATAATATCTATGAAAAGAAGATCATATCTAGTGTTCAAGAAGATTATATTTATAGTGATCATTTTACTGCACGGCTGGTGCGGTGGCTGGGCAACTGACTACCGTGCAACTTGTCGCGGTCTCGATTCCCGCACGGAACAACTCTTTGTGTGATCCACAAAGTGTTGTTCCACAAAGTTTTGTTGTTGTGTTGTTTGGTGTGTGTGAAATTGTATGTTTGTAACGGCACCCAACAATGTTTAAAAAGACAGTGTTCGGTGACTGAGCTTCTCCCAGTTGTGCAGCCTGAAGGCTTTCCTATTGTCTGCATTTTATATTTACACAGAGGAAACTAAAAACTACATCGATATTTCTTATTAAATAATTCTGATTTACTTATTTAGTTAGATACCTAGATACCTAATGTAGGTTTTGGGTAGAAAGATTTTGGCTGACTTTCTCTTTTCCTGCCTAGTTTAAACCAACAATTAAATATTTCTTAATAATTATTTTAAAGAAAAAAATTAGCGTGGTTAAATGTCCTGATTTTTTTTTAATTGTAATACTTAGTTTTGTCGAGCAGTTGTGTAAATATTATCCACTAGAGACTACAAAGTTTTTCCGAACCTTTGAAATTCTCTAAGTCTTTTCTTTATGCTGTGTATCTTTTACTAAACACAAAATATTCTAAATATATATAAGTACGAACTTTTACCGTCGTCAATAACACTAGCTATGTACCTAGGTTATTTATATCCTTAAGTGTATCTATAAATTATTATTGTTTAATTTCGTAGCATTTATGTTTGAATTTGAAACGAAAAACGGCTCCTACGCTGGATTAGAACGACAAAATATTAAACTTGAGTTCAAACCTTTAGGTATATCTATTCTTGAATTCCCATTATGGCTATCTACGATAATAGAGTTATTATTTTTACGACAGAGTCACCCTTTACGAAAATAGTATTTAATACGTAAGTACCCCGTGGGATAAGGGTGATATTTTGTCTAACAGACAGAGTGGGTTCCTCACCTCTAATTGATAAACAAAAGATAGTCATAACAAAGAAATAGATACCAATTTATTAACCGTTAGTATCTGGTATCTATTACGTACGTATACCCCGTGATATGAAGGCGATATTTTGTCTAACAGACAGAGTGGGTGCTTTATCACTAACTAATAAACAAAAGATAGACATAATAAAGTAATAGACCAACTTTATTAGCTGTAAGTTAATACATATACGTACGTTTCATGCATTTTCTTTTGATGTATCTGGTTCAGCTAATGACGCTCTTATAAGTTTACTTCGGCCAGCTATAGCACGTATAGTTTTCTGAAGTTTCGCGGTCATCGCCCTCATTGTAGACGACCGACTAGAATGTATTTTTGGTTCCTGTAACAAAAAAACATCAGTTTAAAAAACTATACAATAACCTAAGCGCATGACCTTGTCATCAAGACAAATGGACGTACCCTATAAGCCTACACTTAGATAAGTTTCAGGATCACAAGTGCATCAGCCTTACAAAAACGGGTCAAAAAGGACATAACCAGTATATCATACATAGGTAGATAAACGAATACTTCGTTTTTACTTGAATCTCTTAAACCCCAAACATCTCGATTAGATAAAATCTTTGTACTTATAAATGTAAATATATATTTTATATCATTTGTCTTTCTCCGATGCACGTGTGTCAATGTCAAATAGTAGATATATAACATGAAAATGTGTAAAATTTCCAACGGAACAATAAACCGTTTTAATAAGAGATAGCTCCATTTAATACTAAGCAAACAATATGTTAGCTTCAAGTATATTTGGAAATCGTAAAATAATAAAGCCATAATAATATGACCAGATGAACTGTCGCTAGCAACCTTATGTTGGGACGTCATTAAAGATACTTTTGTTTTGAAATAAAACAAAAGAATATAGGTATGTACCTATGTACGTGAAGAGGCATCTATGTAATTGTGCGATCTTATTTTCTGCCAGTAATGGAACTTTGTAATTTGTCATGTGTTCGCTATAAGTATAATACCTATATGTATACAAAATGTAACATCACTACATGACGTGAAAGAGTTGGTATTAGTAGTAGTCTATTTGTAATCAATAAAGGGACTTTTATCCTAATGCAATCTAAATCCACTCAATCACGACGTTACAGTGGCACGGAGGGTTCGAGTTCGAAACCTATTAAGTACCACTGTGACTTTTTTGGGGTATATGTACTTTCTATGAGTATTTAGACACCATTGCACACACATACAGTGAAGGGAAACTACATGAGGAAACCTGGCCTTGTAATTTCTAAAAATAAGTTTGGAATCGGCAATCTGCCTCGAGCAGGCGTGGTGGTTAATGGTCAAACCTTCTCCGTGGAAGGAGAGGCCTTTGGTCAGCAGTGGGCACTTATGGACTGATAGTGTGGTGTGTGGAGTGAATCTAAATCAATAGTGTTTTTTAATGTGAATTCAATAACTTCTTCAGTACGGGTTGGGGTGAGAGGGAACGCCAGACTCCTGCTGACTAAAAACGACCCCATTCCTTCTGCTGCTCCAGGCCTTGGCCTGCAGGACATTATTGTGCTTGACCGGCTGAAGCCAATCAAGGTCTTAGGTCTCTATTTTAGACAATCAGATAAACTTAGCAACACATGAGATTATGTTTTTCTGAAGGCAATACGGTAGTTTCCAACTAGTCAAATTCAATGCTTTTATCCAAATGTCAAATACGATACTTTTCTATGAAATTTGTAAGAAAAACTAAGTTTTGACGTCATAGTATTTTTGCGTCAAATAGCTTACTTATTTCTTAATAATTAGCTACAAAATATCTAAAACTTAGTGTATCGATCGATCGATGAATAAAAGTACCTATAGTTATTTTCAATATTTTATTGTATTGAAACGTCGAATTAATTTATTTTAGACCTAGGAAACTAACTACCCAATTCTAGATGTTCGAAATTTAAATAAATATATACAAACATAGGAAATAGACGTCATTCATGATGTAACATTTAATAGGTTTCCGGTGACCGGCTCAACCAACCGTTCTTAGAGCTATCGATTTTAAGATTATAGTACTTATCTAGTGTATTTTGTGGTTTAAGTCTGGGAGAGCCATAATGTTTATAAATCGAATGTTCGCTAGTATTCCGTGATTCAAAATTCAAAAAAGTGAAATGTGATTCTTTCGACATTTCTTTTCTGAGTAGTCAGAACATACCAGTACTGTCTAGGTTAAAAAAAAACTATACGTGTTATTTGAACTAATGTTTTATGGACCTATTTATAAAAATATGTAAATTCATTATTTCTTTGTACTCTAGGTAGTTGATATATCTACTTCAGTGATTATATTATTATGTGGTCTTAACTTTCAATAAAAATAAGGGTAAACTACACAAGTTTTAACTATATATAGTTCATAAACGTGCGAGATAAGTTAGTCAACAATAGGTATTATAAACTAATACGTAGACCTAATATTTGACTCACTTGGGACGATGATGCGGACGGGTAATATTGCATACTATCTTGATCTGAAGGCGATAGAGGTCTGTTTGCAAAACTTTTCTGATCCATACCTATTTCTAAAGATTGTTCGCTGCTGGATGATGAACTGGAGAACGTCTGTAATATGAACAAATGTTACTTAGTAACTTAGTACAGGCTTTTTAATGTGTTATGAGCAATGATGGATGGCAAATGAGCAGGCGGATAACCTGATGGTAAGCAATTAGTGCTGCCCATGGACACCCGCAACAACGGAGGAGATACGAGTGCGTTACCGATCGTTTAGGGATAAGGGTGTGGGAGATTTAGGGATTGGTGGAAGGAAAGGATTAGGTCTTCGGTAACCTGATTCACGCAGCGATTCACAACCTTGTGTTATTGTTTCACATCGGTTTTCTGTGAGGTCATGGTATCACTCAGGTCGAACCGACCTAATCGTGCCAGAGTATGGCTCTCCTACACAAAGTATTAGCAGGTCAGTTACTTTCACACTTCCAAATATACGTTTAGTTGATATATTTAATACAAACGCTAGCTATATACTTACTACTACTTACGCTATATTATGAACATAGTATTTTATCAAAATAATGAATTACCGGAATGAGTGATGCCCTTTTGTTTCGATGCATTCCATATGATGTCTTGTCCGGACTAGTAAACACGGGGTCGATACAAAGTCGGTTGTCCTCGTTAGCATTAAATATGAAGAAAGAGTTTGCTGATGGGGGAAGGCATCTCATAAGGATGTGCCCACCAGCTAGTAGCGCGCAGATCACGGCTCCAATAACAGCAATCACAGGACCATGGGTTAGATATTCCACCGGTAAACTACATTTAGATTTACGTTCATCGAACCTGACAAAATAAAATGCTTTATTAGTTACTTAGCGATAGCGTAGCGACAACGTAGCGTTTTCGTAGCGGTTTGTCATCGTCTACGCCTGCGTGGCAAACAAAGTAACTACATAAATTAGCTACAATTCCATTCATTTCTTCACTGGCCGTATACGCTACGTCTTGGTAGCGATTATTTCTACGCAAATCCTAAGTAAATACGGATCGTCTACGCGTCTTTTACGCAGCAATCACGCAATATCTCCGGTGCGGCTAGATAATTATTAATCTCGGATATTTTCTGTGCCAGTATCTAATTAATGCTTTACTGTTAAATGTGCCTACGATTTTGTAATATTATTATCTCTTAAATAAATTGAGACCTACTACTACCACGACAACAAATAAATTAAATGAAAACCGAAGGTGTTACACCTCACTTCAACATCGAATCATCAAATAGTGATGTATGTATTACTTTCCGAAATAACGCTATTAGGTACAAAGTACGTAATAGCTTTGACACAGTTCAAAAGATTGAATAATAGCCCAATTGTAGTGCATAGAGGTATCTGGTACGCAAACATCAGAGAATGGTGTCAGATGACCTTTTTGGATCAAACTTATCAACATTGAAAGTATAATTTCGTTTTTTGTGGTTATTTAAGTATTACATGAGAATTGTTGTTACCAATCAGAAACGCCACAGTTTTTAATGCCATCGCAAACGACACCGTTAGTGAAGCAGTACTCCTGTGTGTCTATAACGCAGAGTGTCTCGTTCCGTGGGCTGCATTTAGTTTTAGGCTGCTCTCGGGCAGAGGTCGCCGTCACTTGGTACAAATTAGCCTGCAATCATTAAAATTATTAAGGTTTGTCCCATCACTTGAAAGTTCTTGATAGTTATAAATCTTTTAAATATGTACTTTTAAGTTTCATTATAAATTAATATGATTTATATTCTGTGACATCAATCACTCTGAAAATAATTCCTCCTGGAAGTATGAAAATACAAATCCTAACAACTTTATTGGGCCTCCGAAAAACATAACACGTACGATAATTGCATAGTTTCCTGGGTAAAAACTAAATTATAACGACATTCCAGCAGTCCAATAAAATACAAACAATAAAAAATTTCGTTATTTTTTTGCAATTTTTAAAGAAATAAGTTGGTTAATTGACGCAATAATACAAATAATCATCAAATATACAAGTTCGAAGTTTCAAACAAATATCATAGAAAAGTAACGTTTTTGACATTTTGATAAAATTATTGAATTTGACTAGTTGGCAACTACCAGATTGCGATGATGATTACATTATTATTGACATGGTTATAAGGTTTGCGAAACCCCGTTTTTATTGTTTGTTCTCAAGTCAATAACATTCCGAATAATCGACCAATAACATTCTTTGATTGGCACGTGACTGTCATTCTCGACACTTCGAGATTTTCGTAATAAGTTGAATCATTAAGTAACTTGTAAAAAATATGAGCACATAGTTTTGATATGTATAACAACTTTACCTACTAATAAACTTATTACATAATAGCTTGTAAAGGTAACAGAAAATTCCAGAAAAGATATTTTTGATTAGGTAATTTGACAAAAAACGGCCAAAAATGTGTCTAAAATCTAAATACAAGGTAAGGTTAAGAAGGTATGTCTTCGTACCTTGGAATAATAAGAAATCCATTCTTTATGCAGGGCTAAAGCAGATCAAATAAGTTTTGTTAGCGTTATTCATAGGTAATAAATAAATCGACTTATTGTGTATATCTACCGCTAAACAGGTCTATCTGTCCAGGACCTTTACATATTTTTTATAGATAAGATTCTACATTGGGCAGAAACCAATAAAAACTTTCGTGTCAGTTATTTACCAGCGTTATGAAAAGTAACCGGTTTCATTAAGTTCCAAGAATAAGGATAGGTAGGTACCTGTATATGTATTTAATTACGATAACACAAATCGTGTTAATAAATTCTAAACCACAGATTGAGAAAATGTGTATTAATGAGATATTTGTACTAGTTTCTATTTTTGTCACAACTTTCCCTATTATTGTCTGTGGACACAGGATTTGAGGGTTTCATCAATGTTAAACTCAGGAACTAAAGATATGATAACATTGATGTACTCATTTAAAAAAGATTTACATAATAACAAGGAAGTAATGATAACTACGCTAACGTGAGAAAAACCGGTTATATCTAATTACACTTAAATTGCAATCGTGAAGTTAAATAGGATGACTTAGGTCCTTCTTAGGTCGCATCCAGAACGTGGCACTGATAATATTTTTAAAAATTATTATGTGCTGGTAGAACACAGCAAAAAAAAAGAAAGGTATACAAAAATTAAAAAAAATAAAATTACAAGTCCCTTACATCTCTTAAGTATTACATCATTTCATCTAAAACATCTATGTGCATAGATATAGATACTAAATAATAATTTTATGCATTCTGATTGAACCAATAACACAAACTTAATTATGACCATGGCGAACAAATACATAACTACAAGCTAGCTTTATTTCTTACATAAACTTGAACATAATGTTATCGATAGAATGCAGTTATACTTTTTACGGCTGTCTGACTTTTATTAATAATTTATACTTAGTGTGCTTTTAGCATTCTGCACTAATTCATATTATTATATTCAAGTAAGTGATATAAAAAACTTTGCCTAAAATAAACTCTGAATATTTTAACAACAAAAAATGTAGTTTATTTTTAGGTGTTCAAACATTAAAAAAACAAATTTAGATAAAGCGTCAAAAAAACTTAATTGATGTTTAAATAGGTAGGTTTTATTTTATAGTCTATGGCTTCATCCTTCATTTTTATTACCTACATAAATTAATCATGCATTACTTTTCGTGATTCATGTAACTATGTGTAAAACCTGTTTAGGTACCTATATATTTTAGACTGAAACATTAAAAAATCTTCTTGGGCCTCTGTTTTTTAGATCTTTCCATTCGAGAAACAGTTTCGATGAATATTTAATTACGGCGGTCGACTCAATGTTGTTACTCTACTCAAATTAAAAAAAAAACTGTTTTTTTCTCAATTGATTGATCCATTGATCCATTGGAAGTCTGTGCCCAAGTTACATATTGAGGAACATAACGTCAATAACATTACTTACTTAAGTAGGTACCTGCATCATATCTTTCATCTAACCATCGTGGTAATACTTACCTATGTTCTTAGCTACATTATAGTATATATAACTAGCCCCTTCCGCGCGGTTTTACAAGCTCCTCGACTGCTTTTGGTCATAGAGTGGTATTTTATAGCCTTCGTCGATAAATGGACTAAGAGACATAAAAAAATTGTTCGATTGAAACTAGTAGCTTCCGGAGATTAGCGCGTTCGAACAAACAAAGAAACTCTTCAGCTTTATAATATATATTTATTAAATAAATTTATAATAGTATAGATTACTGTTAGTACCTATATTTTCTGTTTAGTTTTTTAGTGTCATAAAAGGGCTAAAACAGGGAACTTAATATTAAGAGTTCGCTTCTTATCCGTTCGTCATCTCCACCTTCACCACATCTATAGGATAGTCTCGTCTGTCAGTAACCAGGATGTTTCTTATAAACCGTGATAGAAAGATTGAAACATGGACGGATGATGTGTTTTTGTTTTTTAAACGTAGTTCTTAGGAATTCAAGAAGATACTTTTTGTGAGTCATAATTCCGGTTTTGTTTTTGAGGTCATTGCTTGCACGATTAGGTTAAGGTCGATAGTAGGTACTCTGCCATTTGAAACACCAAATTAGGTACTTCTTTGATATGGGTTTTGTATAATATCAAACCTAGTTTTTACTTCAGTATTTATGCAGAAAATATATATTTTTTATTGACTAAGTATCTAATCTAATATTCAGTTGAATAAATAGCTTTTATAAAAAATACAATTTAACTGGATAATTCTTTAACCTCTGCCTTTAGCTAACGATCGTGACTGTGATAGCTAAACCGACGAGGCAATCGGCTTCATACGTTATGCTTGAGCAAGTAAAACAGGAAATATACACTAGTACTTAGTTCTAGTACATACATCTTGGAACACGTCTTGGAACGCCATGGTTTTGAAATGAAATGAGTAATTGTTCAGTTAGTAACATGCTTTTTTACGCGTGTACACAAAACAAGTTTATTGTCTCTTGTATGATCCTTCCGAACATTGAACAGTTAGTTTAAACTTGTTTAAGGCCGTGTCTTACCTATCTTTTTCGTGAGTTGATCTTAAGAGCGTACATTATAATACTTATTACATTCATTTTACCGAGGTTCATGTCAAAATTCGTACAAAAAGTAGTTCGGCAACAAGAATGAAAACCTCGTTCTTGTCTTTTTCTCATTTTTCCAACTTTTTTAGTTTAGTTTAGTTAGTAATTTTCGTTATTGTCGATTAAAATTGAATAATTAATTATTCAATTAATTGATTTGAATAATTTGAAATATTTACTAGCGTTTTTGTTTTTTCATTATTATTGTAGGTAAACTTTCGTTGATAGAGCATCAAACCCACTTGTGTTTGCATATAGGGTGTACAACAACTAAAAATACCTACCTTAACAACTTTCGCCTACCACCATTTCACTTACATGGGAAGACAGGATCCTATTTATAAAGGACAGTCCCGAAGGAAGGCTGTTCCATACTTGTATTATACCTATTATATGCCGTAGTCGTAAGCCGACTTAAATTAAATTTGAACGTTTGAAGTTGGAATACAACTCACATTTATATCAGAGTTGATGCTGCTATTACTAAGAAATTTAAAACGAATTCTTCCTTTGACTGTAATAACGAAATATTCGGAGAAGACATCGTCGGAGTCGATCAAATCGCAGAGTCGAAGGCATTTATTCTTTTTCATAACATTAAAGGCATTTTTGTTAGTTTGGCAATTGATGGCGATACTTGTGGGGAACTTTATAACCACCACGAGAAATGTGTTGTTGTATCCTTCCACCACGATGTCTACGTTGCATGAATAGTCAGTCTCATATAGAGTACGAAACACCTGCAAATAAGATGATTTATTTTACATTGTTGTCGGATAAGGCTGATTGCTCTTCGGAATATGCGGATTTGTATAATGTACATTACAAACATCATCATTTACAACGATATAGTTTCAAAGTATTGGCCATCTTGTAGGCTCCGGGTGACTAGCGGTGTTGCGAAGGTCCTGTCATATTCTGCCTAATGGCTGTAACTAATTCGGAATTCTATTTATTAATAACAAGTTGAAATTATACTTTAACTCAATCTAGTTATGTAATACATAAGAACCGGTTTGTTTATGAAGGTACGTATATAAATAAGGTTGTTATGAGAACTTTTGAATAGTTTTCAAAGTTTAAGCGTAGCGGTTCAAGTCAATCGATAGTATTAAAACTTTAAAACTCTTTGCGATGATTACTGGACGTACGAGTATGTATATTGTTAAAAACCACAAACGAATATATTACTTGAATATTATACATATTTTACATGACGCTTTCACATTTATGATTAGGTATCTGTGGTGGTTAATCCTTTAATCTTAGTAGGTAGAAGTTATAGTATGCTTGTAATAAAACATTGTATAAGTAAAGTCGAGACAGATTTTTACAATATTTGCCTTGCAACTTCTGATATGATTAACAATTCAAACATCACAAAAATCGAGATAAAAGAAGGAATATCTTTATATATAAAAATGAATCGCAAAATGTGTTGGTAAGCGCATAACTCAACAACGCCTGGACCAATTTAGCTAATTCTTTTTTTGTTGTGTTTGTTATTGTCAGGAGAAGGTTCTTATCTATAATATTAGAAAAGTAGAGGGGAAGATTAGGAAAAAGTGACCCTATGATAGCGAGATAGCTGGACCCGTGCGAAGCGGGGGCGGGCCGCTAGTTTTCTTATAAAATTGACAAAATGATAGTTTAAGTTACTATAATTCCGTCATGACATTCCATATTTGAAACTGCTGCTCTAAATATAAATAAATCTTAGTTCTAAAGGAAAGTAAATAATAGGTAGGTACTTTTTATTGTTGGAAATGGATTCTTTCGTTCAGGGTGGGGTTGGAGAGTGTAAGACTCTTACTGATACGGAAAGTGTAAGATTACAAACAAACACTTGCACCTTGACAAACTGAATATAGGCCCAAGTAATCTCCTATACTCCCCCAAATGATGGTACGGTAATTTGAGGCACGCGGAGAATTCGACGCGAACGTACGCTCGGGTCCGGTTTGGCGGTGAACTACCCTTCTCGTCGTGCCTACGTTGACTGGAGATCGTCATACGAGCGTTTCCTGAAACGCTAGGTCGTAAGGAGGGTCATTGCCTCACACATTCCGTCTCTATTGCCCTTTGTTTGCCTTTTATTTGAAAGCCAATAAAATGTGACTGTTATGTCATGTGTGTTCAATGCATCATTTCGGCGAATAAAGCGCGATGTTGATATGCTTACGTATTTCGACCGCTTTGAAACCTTTTGCACAGATCACAGTGTTTATTCTCGCATTTTAAGTTTCTATGTAAAAAATTACAGCTACGAAAATTGCGAGCGCAATATTTTATTTAAAATAATGTCAATTGATTACCTACTTGAGAAAAATGCATACAATTAATTGAACGTAAATAATACTTTTTATCGATACTTTGTAGAAACATAAAGATACTTAATAATAACTCGATGTCAATAGGTAAGTAATTGTTCTACTGACATAATTTCATAATACTTAATCATTGGCATTGGTAGTAGGCGGACCTATAATAGCTACGTATACATGTAATATGTAATAATTTTTATATCAATGTGTATAATATATTTAAAAGTGACAACCATTCTATCAGGCACTCGTAATTTTTAATAAGAATAGTAATAATAAAATAGGAATAGTTTCAAATTCTAGGACACAGGCAATCAAACAGAAAATGTAGCTTTTACTTTTAATGTTCTGGTGTCATAGATTAAAAATATAGATTTGTTCTTTCAAACATGTTCTTATTTTTTTGTTTAACACACACAGTCAAAAACCACATAGCCAAAATAAAGGTCACAATTAAAAAAAACTAAATTGTGTAGGTATACATATCATCGGCATAAAAAATGGTAAAATAATCAGAAAATTATATTTAAAAGGTGGTAATCAAGTACAGCTTAGAAGGATTCAATATTTACCATCTACCAAACCAATCATAGAAGTTCTAGAAACATATGTGGAACGTACCAAAGTAATGGTGTCTGACATTCCCATGCCGAATGATAAATCGTACCGCAGTGAACCAGAATAGGCGCAATCATTGGTAATATCAGTTGGACGATAAAGGAGAAGAAAACCACGGTCCAGTCCCAAGGCTGCACAAAGTAAATACAATGCAAGAAGTAAAATACTAGACAACATTTTGTGTCAAATATAAAATAATCTAGACGCCCGTGTATTTTTGAAGTACATACTTATTACCTTGCCCTAATAATTCAATGATGGTTTTATATGTAAATTTTTTTAATACACCCATATAATGATTGCACTATCGAAATGTATCATTAGTGTGCCTTCTTTGCGTTAACATATAAAATTAAGATTCTAAACCTACTCTGAATTTAACAGTTCTAATTTAATGTGGTGAAATAGAATAGCCGTAATTCGTAGCGCGTGCGCGTATCCCGTAGCGCTAGGCTCGTAGTGCACAGGCCGTAGCGCGTAGCAGCGTTTTCCCGCTATCAATCTCGTAGACTTGCAAATCGTGGTTCTGACTTCACTAGTCAGGATATTTTTGTTACATAACAAAAAGAAAAAGACTTATATAATAGATGTTTTAGTTCTAATTCGTATCACATGACATATTGCCTCAAAATATATGCAACGTGAGCGTGGATAAATAACATACTGTCAATCGGTATGTAACAATAAAATATTTCTGAACACAAGGGTGTCTGTTGATGGCTCTGGAAAGAGTAGGAATGTCTGTTGTCATTCGTATGAAAGGTAAAGACAATTTATTATAGCACATTGGCAGTAAAATCTTATAATTAAAAACAAAAAATTTTCTTATTCAAACATTATTCCGAAAGGTTTGTAATAATTGCAAAACATAATTCTATCAACAATATTACGTGCTGCGTTGTGCGTTCGCCATATGTATTTTTGGCGATTTGTGCAGTAGTTTTTTCTCCGAAACAGCCCGAGTTCAATTTTATTTCTTTGACTGATTGAAACATTACTCTAAATAATAAGTAATGTACCTGATTACGAATAGGCAGTACTTTACAGTGCTTAAGTATAAATGGTCCCTGCATTTATTCTATCATCAAATTGGTATTTAATCTTAGAAGATGTTATCGATTTTAGAGAATTTGAATTTTAATCTTCAACGTATTTCTATGCTTTTGTTTCAGATGTCGGGTGACAAAGCCAAGGTGTTTGGTGATGGAGGCCTAACGCCAGACGACTACACATATAGCAAAAACTTCCGGACTGCCTTACCACAGTTCCTGGCCGTTAGCGCGAAAAACTTAGTTCTTTTAGGTAAAACTATCATCTAACACTAGGTACTTGTTTACAAACAGAAACAATCAAGTGTTAAAGATAACTTTTGACACAAATGTTCTAAAAATTCACTCTGCCTCCTTATTTCTTTTTTTTGTTTTCATACAATTTCATTTTAATATTATCACCCGGTTTCTGAAAGGCTTGTCACGCTAAAATTAACTAATCTGCTGTTAAATCTCTTTTCAAGTCATCTGATTGGTTGTTGATAATTCAGTCAACCAATAAGATGACTTGACAAGAGATTAAATTGATTTTAACATTGATCGGCCTTTCGGAAGCCGCGTGTAAGTACAAGAAATTAGCAAATCTACGGGTAGGGTAAATTAGTTCATTTAAATTTGGAATTATCAACAATAAAAGGTATTTGGAAAGAACTATAGTGAATCGTATCCACCAGTCATCTTGACATTGCATTCGTATTTTCGTATGAAACGGACATAGGTCTGTTTAATTAAAAAAACACCATTTATATATCACAAGTTTAGTGTTTTTACTAAACCAATTTATTGTACTTTGTAACCTTGTAATCAGATTTACGTCCAAGTTCATTTCGTCAGGTAATAAATAGCGTATTAAATTCAATATGTATGGATTACCAATGAAATGACCTCAAATGAAGAATGCCATTGTAGAACTAAAATACAAATATACTAGAACTGTAACTAAACTGTTTACGTATCATCCAGTTGGTGGAAAATATTTACAGCTGCGTCCGGCAGCCTACAAAAGGCACTCGCGTTGTTGAACATTTATAATATACCTATATATGTTTTTAATACAAAGGTAATATACGACTTCTTGGAAAAATCCTTAAGTAAAAAAAAATTCAAATTTAATGTCAACGTTTACCCCGGATATCTGTGGGATCTTTCCCTTGTTTTTGTCGTTGTAATATTTTTAAAATTAACATAGGCAACGTCTGGAATCAAATTTAAAATCCATAAATTATTCTAGGATATGGAATGACGCTTGGGTTCTCCACTATTCTCATGCCAGCCGTTTTGGATCCCAAAGATGGCGAAGTTCTACATTTGAATAAGTCAGAAATTTCATGGATTAGTAAGTATACAGTATTATACTATAGAATTTGAAGTAAACGGAATACACACATACGTTCATACATAGTATACAATGAATATATTACACACTTGACTTGACTAATTAAGCAAGAACATTGACATCATCACTATTCATGGGTCTCGTTGCATAATAATGAGTTTGTCAAGTCTAACAAAAGCCTTGTTTTATGTTGCCCCATTACACTTAAAAACCGAACTATGCGAAGAAGAGTTGACAGAAATGAAATATGGTAATTTTCTAGGTTACACATAAGGTATTTTCGTTATGTGTTAAGAATGTACATTCTGTCCACATACATCTGTATATAAATCATCATCGACTGGTATGTTTTGGTAAGTGTTTGATTGTAAGTACCTACGTACCAAAATTAGTATGAGATCATCATTTCAATGAAAACATTGCTTGGATTGTATCACAATACACGGTGTTTACAATGAGGACGACTGACATCAAGGTTCATGTTATTCTTAGGAATATAAGATGATGGTGTGATAAACACTATAGTTGACCTCGTTGAGTTAAATAAATAGCAATATCTACCTTATGCAGTTAGAGTTAAATGTCAAAAACAAATCTGTGCACAAAAACCACTCAAACACATAAAAAGAAAGTTAATTTATTACTCGTTGGTTTGTTTGCAAGCGATAAGAGACAAGTAGTTGGCACGGCGACTGCCATAATAATATTATGTCCGATTTAGATTATATTAATTTGTACAACCTACTAGCCTAGTAACAGCAGTTTTTTCGTATATATTTAATGAAGTAAAAATTTTAAAATGTGTTCACAAACAAAGTATAAAAGTATAATATTTTGTTGCGGAAACAATGAGTATATTTTGAAGATTTTTTTATTTGTTTGAGGGGGTGACAGCAATGAATCTAGTTAGTTATGCCTAGTTAAATTCTAAGAATCATAAAGAACTTTCATAATTAAGCACATAATAGCTAATCGGTCATTATGGTGTACACCCATAAAAATGTTTGTGATCCCTATTATCGATCAACATTCAAATACAAGATGAAACCAAACCTAGTCATGTTTCGACAATGCGCCTACTTAGGTCAGGTGTACTAGTAATTCTGCGAAAAAGGTAATTTTAATTTAAGTATTGTCGCTAACACTATTATCTCTTGCAGGTTCCATTAACCTCATTATAGTGCCATTAGGATGTGCACTATCCGGTGTAGTGACGTCACCAATCGGACGTCGAAGGGCTATGCAGATGGTCAACGTTCCCTTCTGCATAGCCTGGTTGATGTTTCACTTTGCAACTAGTACGGGTCATTTATATGGTGCCCTCTTCATAACCGGACTAGCAGGAGGTTTACTGGAAGCACCAGTAAGTACGTTTAATTATGTTACTTTTAAGTGAAAATATCTGTAATCAATATAGGGGTCGATGTACTTAAAACGATAATTCCATTTTATCATAATTATTACGAGGGGCCCTGCAGTCATGTAAACTGATCATAATATAACGTAATAAATAAATAAATTCAAACTGATTACTTGAATGCATAATGACGTACAAAATGTAACATCTCGAACAAGTTTATCTTATTAGTGTCGGCATTGTCTTCCTGTATGCTTGAACTTGAGAAGAGCACGAACTTAATATAATTGATAGTCTTGTTTACGTACGAAGGGTCGCTAATTAAACTTGGTAGTGACTGATCACAACTTGGTGATACAAGTGGTGATCAAAATCGGACCGCAATTTGCTAGTCTTCTGTATTTTAATGTAGATTGTTACTTAATTACTTACACATATGTTTTATTCCTAGGCAACGAGATTACAGATTACCTGATGGTAAGCAATCAACGCAAGCTAATTCACGTGGGTTTTCTCTATGGCCATGGTAACATTTGTGCTGAAGCATAGCTCCCACACTTAGCATTGTCTAGTATCCCTAAAACCTTCCAGTAAGGACTCAGTAATTATTTCAAAGCATTCCTTTTTTCTCTACTACCCATGAATGATTTTACTTTTTAATTAATAATCATAATGTTTTTAATTTCTCCTTCTTGATAAGAACCTAGTATTGTGCCCATAACTATAACTACGTCGTTACGCACGAGTTTCGTCAATTGGCGAGCGAATATAAAATTCAAATGATTTGTGATATTAATTTGTAGCTTAAGTACTTCCTTCAAGGTCAATTAAGGCTGATAACACTTCAGAGACCGTGCTACCTGGACACTACAAATATTCGAAAACTGTTTTAACGGCTTTTGTTTTTCTCCTTCTTTCTTATTTCAAACGACGGGGATCGAGAGATGATCTCCATGCAGCCACTGTAAGTGCTACGGACGGCGAGTAAGGGTAGCTCGCCGCCCGAACAGAACTAGACCCGAGCGTACGGTGCATAGCGTTCCACGCGCGCCTTAAAGAACCAATAGACCACCACAGACGGGGTCTTATAGAGCTGATGTTCAGCCGGGGTTGCGGGGTAAGCGCAATGAGTCACCGCGGCCTCGGCCCAGAGCAGGAGAAGGAAAAGGGGGGTTTTTAGTCAGTAAGAGTCTGACACTCTCTCTCGCCTTAACTTGGGCGGGAGAAGTCAATTGATGATTTTACCCTAACAAAAAAAAGGGTGGCAAACGAGCTGGCGAACCATCTGGTGGTAAGCAATTAGGGGTTTTAGGGTGTTTGTATTATACTGAAAATACGTATCAATATTGGTAAAAAGTACCTATGTACCTATGTAATCAGTAATATGTTGTCTACTTCCAGGTGCTGACATACGTAGCAGAGATCACACAGCCACACCTCCGCGGCGCACTGACAGCCACCAGTTCACTGTGCATCATCCTAGGGGTCTTCACACAGTTCCTCTTCGGCATATTCATGTACTGGAGAACTGTGGCTCTAGTCAACATAACATTCACGGTTTGTTAAACTAATTCATTATATTTATTTTATTAATCAAACCCCAAGCGAACGCCGGCGTTCACACCCCTACTGTCTCGCATTACCACGATTGAAAGGTTAGATCTTGACTTTAGCCGGGGCTGCGGGGTAAGCGCAATGAGGCACCGCGACCTCGGCCCAGAGCAGGAGAAGGAACGGGGGGGTTTTTAGTCAGTAAGAGTCTGACACTCTCTCTCGCCTTGCCCTGGGCGGGAGAAGTCATTGGATGATTTCCCCTGACAAAAAAAAAAAAAAAAAAAAAAAGAAGATCTTGACTTTTTGTCAAAACTTGTTTTATATTTGGTTCAACTTTATCCTTTTTTAATAAGTTAATGATCATAACGGACAATATATATAAAATTGAAAAAGTATGTTAGAGCGGGCGTCTAATATTAGGTCTAGGTATTTTTTGAAAACCTGTTGGGATATGATGAGTAGAAATTAATTTAGGATAATTAAACCTATCTATCAGTATTTTACCTTATTTTATACATTACAAATAAAAATTTTGTTGATTTTACTTCCCTTTTATTTTTATAGGTAACATTGTTGACCCAACAATAAGTTATGATTTCCCACGCAATAATAAAAATAATGTAAGAATAATATTATGGCTATGATCATACATTAATAATTTTCTAAACAACATGAGTATTCAATGAATGAATTGTTCCGCATCCGTGGATTCCGTGCCATTGCACCGAGGTTAACGCTAGGAAATTACTTTGTATGCGTTGTAGATACATCCTATAGCAATCATAGGTTATAAGTACATGTGTATAGTAATCATAGGTCTAAACGGACCTAATAAATTCATTTTTACGAAATACTAAAAACAAAATATATACGCACGGCTGACACAATTACACTAAAAGGCGTTTCATTATTTAGATTTTAGAAAATCCAAACGATATTATAATTGGGAAGCTTCGTAGGTCAAAAACAAATTAATTCGGCTTTTCAATACGTAAATTATTAACAATCTTTTGTTCATTAATCTGTCACCACACAACATTTTCTATATTTTTTAGCTATTTTTAAAGGAAATGAGTATTCTATTTGACGCAGAAATACAATGACGTCATAATAAGGAGTTTCATACAAATTTCATAGCAAAGTAGGTATTGTTTTTGACCTTTGGATAAAAGTATTTAATTTGACTAGTTGGTAACTACTTATGGATGTTTTTTTGTTACGTTTTCACTCAAAATCGTCGGGGAAGATTTGGTTGAATATTGTAACGTAGATAACCTGCCCCTTTTCATCAACATTAGCCTTAGCTTTTATCCGAAGCTTACCGCGCGAACCAAGCCTGATAATGATATGGAATGACGACTGAATAACAATAAGACACGAAAAGTGAAGAAAAGACTGAAGGAATGCACCCATAACCATACCTACAGTATTATCACATAAGCAATGTTGTTAAGTAACGACCATTTACGGACAGATCGATGTGTTTATCGCCAAGCAGAGTAGAAGGACTGAACATCTTAACTCGTTGACTCTAAAAAATACAAAGCTGCAGAATAAAAAAACTGTCTAAACTAATATTATAAATGCGAAAGTAACTCTGTCTGTCTGCCTTTACTTCACGCCTAAATTACTGAACCGATTTGTGTGAAATTTGGTACAGACATAGTTTAGAACTCGAGAAAGGACATGGGATAGTTTTTATACCAAAAATTTGCAGGAAATCACTGTTTCACGCGAACGCTAAAGCTGTAGTTGTTAATAATTAACGGTGTCAACAAACACGTCTCAATTCAATGGAAAAGAACCAATGGATTTATATGCAAACAACTTTCTAAAGTTTTCTCTGCTTATGCGACTTGAATATATTGGTATAACCCTTCATCGTGACGTTTGATAGTGGCTTGTTTCATTTCCAAATCAGTTTAGCTGCCGGAAGTGTACGGCTTGTATTTCTTTAACTTCTTACTAAGTTCTTTCGCACTGGTACTATTATCAACTACAACAACAATTCGAAGCGTATTATGTTGGTGTCTAAATACAATGTTGTATCTAAAATGAACATTAATTTCTTGTCAGTGATTAGAGGGAGACAGCTAGGTTCTTCACTAGGACTGTGACTAAAGAGGTCACGTACCTCTCGATAGAGATGTGCCATACCAGGCACCAAAGGGGCTCTGGAGTTGGTCTATCAAGAGGTCCCGGTGTCCCATATAGGTGTTGATGGTTGCCACCAGGGAGGTTTAAGTGAGGTAAAAATCCCACACTCCCTAGTCTTCTTTCCCCAAAAGCTAGGCGCCTTATAAAGGCTTCCCCCATTAGCAAAAAAACAAAAAGAAAAGGACTGTGACTTAGTTATTATTGGGATTAGTCAAAAAAATATCTAAATTGCACAATCAGTACTATGATTTGTATGGCCTTTTTGAAAACTTATTACATACATTTCAAAGATTTATTTCTTTCTGGAACCTGGTTAGTGAGTACTGATTTTCATATTATGTTATCTTAAATAGATGAAAAGTAGTTTTATTTTATTTATTCGTCTGCTAATTATACAACATAATGAAGGGTTTGAACTTAAAGTATTTGAAATACCTACTGTATCATATTATATCAGTGTATTTGTTTTTGAATCACAAAGTAAATTATGGCATATTCACTTGTGGAGTCCCTTGCTTGTGGGGCAAGTCATGTAGGTACCGCGGCTCCGGCCTGAACCAGGAAATGGGAAGGAACGGGGTGATTTGTAGTCAGTAAGAGTCCGACACTCCCTCTCTCCCCACCCGGGACAAAACTACCTATCTGATAATTTTCAAAATAAAATTAAAAAATCATAGTAGCGTATTTCATTTCTATATACTTAAGTATTTACTATTTATATCTATATTCTATGTATCTTTTAAAAAATATTGATATTTATTTAATTTTTTTACTTCAAGGTGACGGCAATTCTTGCTCTCTGCTTCGTGCCGGAGTCTCCGCACTGGTTGGTGTCTAAGAAACGTTTTGATGATGCAAGAAAGGTTAGTATATCAAATCATCAAAAGACATAACAGACAACACTTTTAGGGATCGTAGATCCCTTTTTGTATCATGTCATTGGAAATTATTGCGAAATTTTAATTAAAATTCGTACCTCATCTTCCTTATTCTTATCTACTTACTCAACATGTAGTAAGTACTTTTATGGCATCACAAAAAGCAATTAAATGTCGGCTGCACTAAAAGGTTCACCTTGGAAAAAAACGTTTGGGACTTATCAATGAACCATCGAACCTTGACATCAGGAAAAAGTGAGTTGGTACAGATATTATTACTTAGGTACTGATTTGATTATTTTTTCAGAGCTTACAATGGCTTCGTGGTTGGACAACACCTACTGCTGTGGAAAGTGAACTTCGAGACATACAGATCTTATTCCAAAGGGAGAAAAAAGGTAATCATTTTTCGTTTTCTTAAGACAGCTTTATAATCAAGCAACAGTGAAAGATGAATGTTGATTATAATTGGTTTTCTTTCAGATTTAATTGAAGTTGAGGAAACAATGTCTGAGAAAATGTCATACTATACGAGGAAGAGCTTCATGCTGCCATTTTTCCTTGTGACTTTCACATTCTTCGTTGGTAATTTTAGTGGCATGACAACATTGCAGGTAAACAAAATAAAGTTTTATCCTTGTTGGTCGAGTGGTCACAAGCTTGGTCAACTGAAACGTGAATCTTTTTGCTAAATTACGCATCATGGACATGTCAATAGAATAATGAATTAACTTCCACTTAATGTACTAGCCGTATTTTGTTTTAATTTTTAGCTATATTTTCTATAATTAGCGATTTGACAGTAGGTATAGTGATTTCAATTATGTTCCCTAAAAAATGTTTACTGTATTACAGACATACGCGGTGTCAATATTCCAAATGCTGAGGGCGCCCATTGACAAGTACTACGCAACTTTGATCCTTGGAGTTCTACAAATAGTGGGGGCAGGAACTTGCGTCTTGTTGGTTCACTACACTGGCAAGCGACCCCTTACCCTTTTTTCTACCAGCGGAGCTGGAATCTGCTGCATACTCGTTGCTATTTACGACGTATATATCAAAACTGTAAGTTATTATTTCCAGACACTTTGATCTTTAAGCACATATGCAAGTCGCAAAATAATAAATACCCATTTGTTATATCAAGGTCAACTATACAATAAGGACATAGTTCTTAGGAAATCTGGTGCCATCTTGAAAATTTATTAAATACGGGACGGGTCGCTAACCCGTCCTGGCATCGCAGGAGTGCATTGCTAGTACTAAATTTCTCTTTTATAATTTAATGGGTATTATTTTATACATAAACGTTTCTTTTCAATCATATTTAAAGTACCTACCTATCTATGTTAATTTAGTTTTGACTTAACTATGATTGTCTCTTGCTACAGAATGGTTTTACTGAAGCATTGCAATCTACAAATGCTACGTTGACTTCGATTAACAACTCGTCAACAGAAATGCTAGAAGAAACGGTAATTTTGATATCATTTTTACAAGCTTCGAGTCAAAATAGAGTTTTCGTTATCTGAGTTGTCATTTGATTTCAGAGGAACCCGCACTCTTGGATTCCTATGACGTTGTTGATGCTACTAGCTCTTCTTGCGCATACGGGTTTAAGATTGCTACCCTGGATTCTTATTGGTGAGGTAAGTCCTGATAATTGTACTCCTACAAAGTTTTAATTCGTCCGTAATTATTAAGTTAAGATTCTGCAGAAAAACTAAGTATTGTGTGTCTACCTAATTTTATCATCAGCCCATTTATGTTTAGACGGTACGCCTACTATATCATCCTCACCAACGAATACCCTTTGGCCTTATAGAGCTTTGTCATATGGCTGTTGGATGTAATGGAATCATAGTAATGTATGCTAACTTCTATCATAATGTTTCTTTCTAGGTTTTCAGTGCCAAAACACGTTCTGGCGGTGCGGGCGTATCTAGCGCTATTGGGTATTTGTTCGGGTTCTTATCAAACAAACTATACATTAGCATGGTGGACACTTTGTCCATATGGGGCACCTACGGCTTTTACGGAATCGTGTGGTAAGTTCTTATAAAACTCTGTTACTATTTTTAATTTAGTCTACTGACGTCAAGAAGATAAAAGAGGTGGGCTTAAGTGCCCACAAGCGTGTTATTCAATCTGAAATGGGATCAGAGAGTTATCTGATGAAAGTAAAAATTGTATCGTCCTTTAAGGGTCACATTAGTATGACCTTTTTTAGACAATAATAAGAATTTGTAGGTTGCGTTACCCTTAGGAGGTTTTGTTTAGTCTTTATGCATGAGGTTTATGATGAACGTAATAACGGTTGTAAAATTGTACTTAGGTACATTTACGCTGATGAGATACTATTTCTAATTTCAGTTTTGTTGGAGTCATTGTGTTCTACTTTATTTTACCTGAAACCGAGGGTAAAAAATTAAATGACATTGAAAACCATTACGCCGGGAGATCGAAACTTAACAATCAAGTTTACAGGTCTCAGGTAAATGCAAACTTTTTTATTTCTATGTATATCAACATCCAACACGTACCAATTACAAAAAATACATATCTAACATTCTATCTAATGTCTTCAGCATTAGCTTTATTTATAGCTTGGAGTTATGCTAGGTACTTACATTTTATTGCATAACTTTATACAAAGATATATCTCATGCTAGATTGGTATCTTTGAATTGTGTCAGGCACCAGACTTTGAATTGTGTTAAGTCGGTAACGATGCAAATTATCTACAGCGCAGCGAAGTGTATAGCGCTATTCCGCGTATTTCAATAACTTTATGTAACCGAAGCAGGCCCAACTGATGGTAAGTAATCGGCGCCGCCCATGGACGGGTGTTCATGACGACATCTAATCGTATCTAAAAGTAAATAATACTTTAGTCATAAAGGTATTATTACATTTTGTTTACAGAAGAAGGCGTCGAAAGATGTGTCGAAAATGCATGAAATGAAAGGTGCTGCGAATCCGACATTCGAGGATGATACTTCAAAGTTATAGTCCATACACGTATCGTACTTGTAACTTGTACAAGAATACCAGATAATATTTGAACGTGACAGTTACAGTTACCATAGATTATAATTTTCATTTTAGTCAACTTATTTTCGAAATTACATAGTGAATGATTCTATCTTTTTGACCGAAACTCATTACATAAAATCGAATTAAGTTATACAGATATTTAAAATGGAATTCGGTTAATAACGGCCAAAAGAGTGTTATAATATAAGGATGTTGCAGATATTGAGTGCATACTATTATTGCTACCTAAGTTAATACACATGTTTTAAATTATGCTTTCGTCTTTTAAAGTCTATCTGTATGTCAGTAGGTATGTTAGTCAAAATGTCCTGCAGACAATTCTTCCCTGGACTTCGATGTCATGACCAAATGGAGTCAGTCCAGGCGTTTCAGAGTTTTAGGGAGACTGAAGGACAAACCACACATTTTATACCTATTATAAAAGGTAGCAACCACATAGGAAAGTATATCTAACTGTTACCAAAAAATGAAGTGGCTAAACTGGGGTCTGGTATTGACGATTTATACATATACTTATTGTTTTTTTTAGCTTAAAATGAAGTGAGTGAGGATTATCCCACATCTAAATATCTGTGATCAATGATAATATAATTAAGTATAAAATGTTTTTATAAACTACTTATTCTATAAATAAGCTTATATCCATTGTGTTCCCTCTGCTTATATTTTAATAATAAATACTTTGGTGTTAAATTTATTTTATTTTATTTCTATTGACATCCCCGAGAGAACCATTGAAGTAGGTACCTAATGAAAATTTGTTTTCAATTACGTAACATACCAGCGTTTAAATTTGATTTGTAAATAGTCAGTAGATAATTAGGTAAGTTTAATTTTCAATTGACAATCGAAGGGGTAATATCGATCTGTTTCTGTAACACAAAAGTATTTTCATCGTTTTACCAATAGATGGCGATTCGAGTTCTATTCAAAATTTCAAATTCACTACCATCAGCCACATTTTATGTATCCATGTTCATAAAAGATCGATTTAGTATTTAAAATAATCAATTTTATATAAATATTAAAACCAAAAATTTAACTTTCATAGGTTTTACTAGATTTTTTATTACCTCTACCTACATATACCTAATATTTCTAATTCTATTTTCTACGTATAATATTTCTAAGTGAATAAGACGGTACTAGTAAATTTTATGATACAATAATTATGTTAATTTGTATAACTCTTCATTCGGGACATTGTGTTCGAACAAAAAGAAGGGCTACTCATTTGTAACTCCGTACTTTAGTTGGTACCTACATTTTACCGTAGATTTTTTATTCGTCTACCTTTTATAATATTTCGTTAGTGTTAAATCCAGTGACTGTAGGGGGTTTAAAAGATTTAACACGTGTTTTATTTATTATTTTGTTATTAATTTTATTTGTTGAACATATCTATTAATTATTTTAAATATGGATAAATCGTTTTACAATAATTCTAACTCGGGAAACGATGATTCGGGCTACAGTCCTGTTCAAAGTTCGGTATCAAGTAGTGTCTCAAACGATTCTTGTAACGAAGACATTATACCAAATCATTTGATATCTGAATATGTGGTGCATTGCCCAACATGTGTCACGGCTATAATTACTTCTTTAGCCCTTTATTCAGACTTCAGTAGGCAGAGCCCTATCCCACAAGTTTATGATACTGATCTTTCACATAGCTTGTCGACCATAAATGTCCCTAGCGATCCATGTAACGAAGACATTGTACAAAATCATTTAGTATCTGATTATGTGGTGTACTGTCCGACATGTGGCACGGCGATAATTCCTGTAGTGGTGTCTCTCTGTCCAAGAGGTAAGTCATACACAATTATTTGTATTAGTAATCTTCCGTCCTAATACATACTATAGATACATAATACATACTTCAATTTAAATCATGAATTATTGTGTACTTAAACTATAAGATGAACCTTTTCACGGTCGATGTTCAGTGCGTGTACACGTCCGTGGCAAAGACATAACGTTATATTTCTGCTCCTCATTTTTATAAATTAGTACCTAAACCAGTATAAAGCGATATGTGTAACTATAAAATACTATTATCCTGAAGCATGTGAAGTGGCCTGTCCTACAGTTTAATTTTTATTTGAGTATTGCAATAACGATATTTGTTCCTGACCGATCGACGACAGCCCGCAGAGCACTCAACACCCACCGCGCGAACCGTTTTCGCCGCGTCATCATCTGAGGCTGCTCATGAGTCTTTCACGTTGTGTATATAGATTTCCAACACCCTTGTTTTGGTGTATTGGCTTAGGTACTTTACCCTGCCGTGGTCGCCTGTTCCAGTCTTACTACCACAGAGGATTATTTTGCCTATTTTCAATAGGTATGTTTTATTTTCATTTTTTTATTATTGTTTAATATAAGTCACTCATCGCTAAAAAAGTTGCCCATTGGGTTTGCTGACCAGATGACATTGGTGTAGGTGGGAAATCCATTAAATATCTTACATGTGGAAAATCCTGCCACTGCTTACTGCTTAAAGATCTTTCCAAATACGCAGGCACCTGGAAAAACCAGCCAGCATATAGCATTTCCCCGACTACAGGTGCTAAAAGACCAGCTATTGCATCTCCGACTCCTGCCACCACGTCAACCGACGTAGACGAGCTCTGCTGCGTTATTTAATCTTAACAAATAATACAGGACGCATTTTGGAAGATATTTGCTAAGTTTAACACTGATACAGTCAACACTATCAAACAAGACTTAGAGTCTGTAAAAAGGGAAATGCAAGGGACAACCGGATTATTGAGTCAGTCTTATTTATGAACAATACGTTTGAAGACTTAAGGAGGGAACATCAGTGATCTATGGACACAATAAAAAACCTTGAATCGGAGAATGAAGAAGTAATGTCCAGTGCCAATGCCCTTAATGATAGACTCAAACCTGAAACAGCAGTCACGATCCAATAACATTTATGAGAGACTTTGGAAAAAAAACGAGTACTTTTTATATTAACTTATGTAGTATAAAGTAGTGATTCTGACTGAAATATGGTTCAATGTAGAGAGCAACGAGCAATTTGATTTATTTATTTCTTTATTTGGTGATTGATATGAAGTCTGTAGTCGCGATAGGAAAACTACTGGGTTCTATCGCGGCAAAGATGGGGGCGGAGCGTTGATTGTAGTTAGGGGATGTTTTAATTCTTCGCGGATCGATCGCTGGTAGATATAGTTGTTTTGAGTATCTCTAGGCAGAATACATCCACCTCTTGAATCACTCTTTGTGGTGAATATCTGCCTCCACCTATTACTGAGACTGTAACTAAAGTATAATTAATTGCGACTTACGGAATCTACACGATTCTTTTGCCAAAACTTGCCGTGTACTGGACCTTGTATATTCTACAACATCTAAGTACAGTCAGTGAGTCTATCTGCTCCCTTACTGGGATTGACAAATAACAGCCCCCTTTTGAAATAACACTGTCATTGGTTGGAGATTGCAACTTACCCTGTAACACGATGCGGAGACCGTTATATTGATTTCTAAACGAATGTGAAAAATATGCCTTACAATAATATAATGCTTATTATGTAATAAGTATGGAAAATGACATTAAAGCTTATTCTAAACTTTTATGGAGCTAGATAACTCTTACTCATCGACTATTAATGACGGACAAGTTATAACTTCAGACGGTTTCAATGTGTTCTTATTGCTAGACACTTTTCTAGTGTGGACGCATCTGATGATGTTTCAGGTGTTTATGAATATCCTAGCTATTTTATAGCTATTCGCAATAATAGTCAAGGTGTAACTAAGTACTCTGAAAGTGGTCGACGTTTGTCATCTCAAGAAACTTAATTCTTTTAACACCGAAATGGGGTCGGGTCCAGACGCTTTTCTGCCGATATTTATTAATAACTGTGCATTACCTCTAAATACTACTTCACAAATCATTTAAATTGCGCCCTTGGAAACAGGAATATTTCCATCAAAATGGAAAAAGGCAAGGGTAGTGCCAGCACAAATACACAAGTCGGATAAAAAATACATTATTAGTAACTACAGGCCACATTCAATTTTATTGATATTTTAATCAAATATTTATCCAAATCCAATTGTTAATTTCAATAATTTGAATAATTTGAGAAAATCATCGTGTTGGTGTGCTCTTTTCCAATCTGGGTGATGCACACCGAGTAGTAAGTACTTAGTAGTTTTTAATTTTCAGCAGTACCTATTATTCTGAATTTTTATTTAAGAAAGTATTTGGTAGTTTAGAAACCGCTGTCAAAATATTTTTATAAAGCTTTGTAGGTACTTATTATGAAAATAAGTTTATTCGACACTAGTCCCACCGGTGATGACAAATTTCAGAAGAATTAAGCAAGGGGAACCTCTTGATTCGTGGTGAATTAAGGTACCATTTTCTGAATAGCACTGCCGAGTTGCGAAATTAGTAGCTGTTGTGTGAACAACTCAACTCAAACGCTCACTTTTTATAGGCATTAAGTATTATACCTTTTCTATGAATTTCATTGAAATTTTATTTTAAAATTTGTCTAAATAGATTTTTGATCCACTATAAGATCTCTAAATTAGGATAGGTAAATATTAGACTAAATATTTTGTTTATTTCTGACAAAAGTCATAACACAAGGCTAAGCTAAAATTTAATAAATTATCAATGGATTGATTTCTGCCTAAAAGGGTTAAAGAGAAGGTTTGTAATCCTTTTTGGTTCTTTGAAAATTTTCATAAGTTGTTGTTTGTATTGGCTTATGCCTGGCACCTAAGTAGGTATATCATACTATACTGGATTATTGAGTTTTTGTATATGATTGGGTGATTCAATTACTTTGTCCCCAGTGGACAGTCGAAATAGAGGCGTCCTGTCGCGATACGACAGTCATAAAATAAATATGGGACTTTGTGGTCCCATATCTATTTTAAAAAACAATAAAAAGAGTTAAAATTTTTATTTTTATGTAGGAAGTAATCTTTGGAACCGCTGGTCGGATTTCCAAAACTTTTTCGCTGACAATGTTTCGGAGTGCATAGACTATGACACATCGCCCTACGACTATTTAGAGCCGACCAGCCGGTGAAACTGCGCGGCAGTAGCAAGTACATTACCTAATAGTTAATATTGTGGTGTACTGTGTGTCGTGTCGCTACACATTTTGTGAAACCGTTTGTTTGAGCGTTTTGTGACGACCTGATACGTCACGCCATCAGGTTTGACGTTGTGTTATATTATAGGACTCGAGTAAGTGTCGACTGGGCTTCTCCTTATTGTGTAATATTTCTTGTCGTTATATCAACGTTTCAATTTCAATCATTATACTTACATATTTGCTGAATTAAAATCGTTAATGCAATTGCTAAGTATTTAGTTTTCTTCTCCTGTTATCTATTTCTTTTGGTTTATTTCGTCGCGGGATCAAGGCACTCGGATACGCCTCGATTATTTGTGACTTGAAACCATTCGATTTTTTCTTAATTTGGCGTACGTTTTGTTCAGTTATTATTTTCAGTTTTTTTTATTTCTGGATACTGAAGTCCCTTAAAATGTATTAATGGTTGCCTATTATTTGAGCGAAAATCGTAATACCATTCACACCTAGGTACTGACAAAATTTTAACCGTATAAGAGTACCTATTTCTTGATAGTTGTTTTGCTACAGATCCCTAAGTTGAAACTAAATAGGTACCTACTTGTTTGCGAGAAAACTTTTGAAATTAGATATATTTTGTGATAGGCGGCAAACAAACTCTCTGACACCTGAATCTGATGAAATGTAGTTGGCGCCACCCTAAACAATCGCAAAACTAGAAAAGTTGCGAGTGCGGTTCCGGTCTTATCGGGATAAGGTATTTTGGTGATTTAGGCAGGAATGTGGAAGGGAAAGGGCTAGGCTTCCGCTAAACACAACGCTAAGGTTACTTCACGTCAAAGCTTGGCTTTTCAACAATAAAAAGAGAAAGCAATAAGTACATATATACGTACTTATATTACCATAGCGACTTAAGTACTAAAAATACTTAGTTTGAACGTGATCTATTGAGATTTAAAGTTGTTTTTTTATTCAATCAATGAGTCAAAGAAAATATAAGCTAATTAACATTTTACTAGGTAGGTACTTAAAAAAGTTACAACGAACTACTTAGGTATAAGAAATTTAATAAAAAATTCGTCTTTTTCATACATGATCGGTAAGTACCTTTTTTCAAGATGGAGAAATCATTTTGTTTACTCTCATCTATAAAAACCGCCCCGTTGCTATTCCTGCTTCAGACTGAGGCCGCGGAACTGCGCGCGAAACGCAACCCCGGATGCAGCCTACGGTTAAACACCACTATGGTTACTTACGACTATCGTTAACACATTCAGTGCCCCCGACGCGTATGTGCGTTTCCTTACGCTACTCTGCGTGCCCTCGGCACTGGATGTGTTAAAGACAAACTTGAGTGGCATATTGTGTCGCGTCGCGTGCTGTAAAATGTTTGAAACCGGGGCGTTCTATCGCGGTGCGAGTCGCCACACCGATGGTATCTATAACTTTAGGAAGTGTTACAAGCGTAGAACCTAAATACATAAGAGCAACATTAACTATTATGTAGTTTAGCTTACATGCTCAAATAAATATGTCGAATAAGTATTAGAAAATTTTAGGTAAGTATCTACAATTCTAAATTACGCATAATTATGTCCACCAGGCATATGATTTAATTATGAAAAAGCATATTTATTTTACAATAAATTATGTAAAAATTGGTAAAATTTCTTTTCCGATAAGTAGGCAGGTACAAACTCTATTTGCTTGAATGAAATTGATATTTTTGTTGTTTCTGAAACCAATATTTCTTATTTAGGTACGTAAGTAGAGGTATAAAATTCATTTTTTTCTTTACTATGCATTTTACACATTTTATCAACACTGTCCTAACTTTTTTTTTAAGACTTTTCAGCCTTGCGGACTATTTATTTCTGTACAACAATGATTTAAAAAAAAATGGCTCTTCGACTTCGGTTCTTTTGTAGTACTCTAATCATCATTAGGTACTTACACCATTTATTATAAAATCAGTAAGTGCTGCCCTCTGTAGTTTCAATTCGTGTTTCAATTATTTAATACAGATTTTCTGACTGTACTGAAGTATACATTTATAGTATGCAACTAAACTATACATATCATTCTAAATTATTAATGAATATATATTTTTATATTTTTACTGATTTATTGGATTTACTGATATTCATGATCTATACAAAAATGTTATGCGCTTGATGGTAAGGAAAAAGATCTTTAGTTATATGAATCTTCATCACTTACAATTATAAATCAATGAGATTGACGTGCATATTAAAATAAATTTAGAATTATTTCGAACACGTATAAATACTTACCTAAAACATTCGTGTGAAACCAGTTTTTAGGTATTTTATATTACCATCTGCATGTCACGTGAGTGACTAATCTACTAAATGTATTATTTGTCCAACACTATGCCATGTTGATGCCTAGTTTGTTGTCATCACTAGATGGAAAAAAAAATGACATGCTAGCGGATTATTGCATGCGTGACGTGAGTAGACAGAGTAGACGTGAACGATTGGATGACAGTTTTCATGATTTTAAAAAATACGTGATAATATTCATATTGAAAAGAAATATTTTTACATTTTTTATCTTTATTTAAACGAATTAAAACTTCGGCACCAACGCTAAAATAAGTGATTAGCAATAATTTTTTAGTACATCAGTGACAGTCACGTTTGTTTATTGGTTAACATCCGCCATTTTGTACTGTCGTTTGTTTAGTGACTGGGGCTCTATCTATCCTAGTGATGCCAATAGCATTAACCAGGAACATTTTGTGATTTTACAAGTGGTGTACAATGTTTTTTCAAGAAACGTTGGTTTCAAACGGTATAAATTAAATCGTGTGACTTGTCAACTGACGTCGGTATATCTCTACCTATGTGCCGGATGTGTCCTACAATCGGTTAGGGCGATTTTACGTGCCACCTTGAGTGGTGTACGTGTCCCGATACCTATGCTGCCAAGAATATGAGTAGCAACGGGAATCAGGTGCCGTTGGCGCCGAGTCAGCGAGGACCCGGATCGTATCCTTTTTAAAAAAACGTGTTTTATAAAGTTTGTATCATTTTATTTACGTAATAAATGCCACTTCAGCAGTCAGTAAAGCCGCAATTGCGAATAATTACAATTGTTGTTATTATTGCCATTCATGTAAATTCCTTGTGAGTTGAATGTTATGGCAGCCGTCATGTTTAATCTGGATAAGAAACAACTTACAGGTAGTTTATATTGCATTCAAGCCAGCTTTATTTGTTTTTCTGCAACATGACTTGTAGTAACCATTGTTTGTGACACTTGTGCAATTGTGAGTGACTATGTTTTATTCTTCACATGGACAATGTTATAACTTTATGTTAGCACTAAAACATAAGTGAGAAATATAGAGTCACATGCAAGTTTATTTTACAAGTCAACTGCAGGTCTAAGTTTTTTAAAACTTTTTCAAACAATTCTTAGGGATTTTCAGTGTCACTTGTAGAGCAAAGCGAATGTCTATTTATTTATCTTTTTGCGAAGTGGGACTACTTTTTATGTTCTATAACATTGTTTGAAGTAGTCACTTTGCTCACATAATGGAGACAAAACATGCTGTTGAATGGAGAGCTTTTCCTGTATTGAAAGTTTAGATGTTTGGTTGACAATAAAACTGGGTTTTGTAATTCAACTGAAAGTCTGTTGATTATATTGATGTTTATAAACATTTAATCACAATTTAATTCTTAGTTTATGATGTTTGTAAATACAAGTATTTGTGAAACTTGTACGACTTAGCCAATCAGCAGCTTGTTTTGTTCTTCATTAAAATGTATTACTTGTTTTTAATACTTTATATATTTACAGTTAATTCAAAATTTGCGAAGAAAGAATCGGTTTACTTTTACCAAAAATGCTAATCACTTTCTGGCATCCATAGTTATCAAAATAGCGGTGGAGGTAACATTTTCAACACAAAAATGTTTATAAAACGTAAGTAATTAATATAAAAAGCAAATGGCCTGTTTCACCATCTTCATGTAAGTACCCATTTAAGTGATGTGGCACAAAGTCTATATAAATAAAAAAATGGTTTTACATTCAAATTCAACTGGTAAATAGCAGCTACAAACATTGTGAAACAGGCCCTTGATGTATTTATTTCATTCTTTATAATTGTAAATTTTATGCTATGTATTTACTGAATAATTTAAAATAAGCATTTTTGTTTTGGTAAATGTGCATCATTTTTCTTTCGCTTTAGGGTTGTTTTAATTTTATATTACATGTTGCTTTATGTTTTCTTTTCTAATACCTCTTCATTTCTTCCTCATTACTTATTTTGACTGAGTTAATTATCAGACCCAAAATTGTCACCAAGTGACATATTTTCCTGGCAATAACTAGCTTCTGCAAGTGCCTTCGTTAGCGTTCCCAGAATGAAAATTACTTCATGTATATAAACTATAATCTATTACTCTACGAACTTCATGCAAATAAATTCAATAGTATTTTTGTGAAAGAGTAAGAAACATCAATTCATACATACAATCTTTTTTCAGTTTATTAGTAGAATTATACCAATTACCGAATTGTGTAAGGCAATCTCTCCTTAAATGCCCAAAGTGAAGCTCAAGGTTCTTGCATTTATCTCAATGTTTTTGGTTAGAGCAGCAATTTTTTAGAAAATCATTAACAATACATAATATAGTTTTGTTAGTGATGGTCAATGTTTTTTATTTTGCCTTTTGCATAATGATTACTTGTTATAATCTGTCTTTGTTTTTTATAATTGTTATTGTTTTGAAGAATTTATCACTTGGTAAATTCTTCAAGGAATGACATGAACTTTCATGTGATTCCTTGGATTGATAGAATTATTCCAAAATTGTTTTAGAAATATTGTATGTTCTTTCTTGGAAATGATGTGGAGAGTGTAATCATGATTTACAATTACACTACACACACTTTGGAAACATTGACAAAGAAGCAGATGTTATATTGCCGAGAGTTTTCATGTCTATCAAAGCATGTTTATAAAAGAAGAGATGAGAAGAAGTACATTAATGTTTTGTTATGTTACTCGAAGATAATTCTCTATCCCTTGATAATGTATTGTCCATTGGTAAAGTTGTTTTCCTTTTTAAGGACAGACTCTTCATATTTATGTTTTTTCTGTTATCTGAAGGCTTTTTGAGTGGTTGTGGTCAAGTGCTACCAAACAAGGAGCCGCTAAGTCAATTCTCTGTTATATTGGAAGTCTGGGATTATGCCCCATTCAAACCAAGGGACTTGTATGTAATATAAGCCCTCCTTTACAAAGAACTGGAACCTGTGCAATAACTGAACAGTTTGCACAGATGAAAGGTAGATATGTGTCTCCAGTGCATACATGTCTTGGGTTGGATTTCTGCACAAAACAATATTTTGTAAATCCTACAAGTTATTGTCTGGGGTCAACGAAGACGAATGTAATGAGGATTTGATTCAGGCAAAAACACTGGCGATGGGACTAGGTTTCAAAGAAATAGAATGTGGTAGTTTATTATATATTCAACTTGGACTTATTCATTGGAAGAAAAGCATGATGTTCTGTTGTGTTATAAAATGCAGAACTTATTCTCTTTTCTTTTTCAGAATCCAGTAGTGTGCAACTGTCACACTTTTAGAAGGCAATGCTAATGAGTGGAAAAAGTAACAACTACTTTTCTCCCAGACACAATTAACTGTCTACTTTGTTTTTCTTGTTTTTCGCATATTATACACTGAACTAGCAAAATTTTTTACCCTCAGTATCATAATTTTGAGCTCAATTGATGTAACTGATTTTTTTGTGTATGCCTAAATGCTTAGACTTATTTAGACCTGTTGTAGCTAATGGTACTTATTCGCATACAGAAATTTCTCACAGTAAAAAGCGAGCAAGAGTTTAAAAAATTATGCATAAGCGATTAATTCCGAAAACACCTCTCGTTCCGAGAGGCACTACAAATTTGAATCAGTCTCCATCCTCCGAAAGCCGATAACATTTTGCATGACGGTATGAGAAGTACTAAAAATCCAAGTCTTTCGACTTTGCACTGCATCTAGCAAAAGCTAACGTCATACCTCACCGCCTTAGTTACAGCGTTTATATCTAACAGTCTTAATTTTAAACTATTACATAAGAACTCTCAATCAACAACTTTCCGTCCCTAACAAGAGTGAACAGAAAATGGAATCACACTATCGGAAAAGGAGTAAATTTATTACAATATTGAATAACTACCAAGTCCCAAATATTGCTTTGATAAATCATATTTATAAAATGAATTAAGGGGATTGTGAATATTATTGGTAAAATAGCTTATTCGAAATAAATAATATTTTTGTTTCTACTTTACGTAATAATACCCCTGTATTCTTACGTAAAGTAGAACTATTTATTTTACAATGAAAAATATAAGTGGGCGGTTAATTGTGTCTGAATGTGTAAAAGCTATCCATATCATGGGCAGCTGGTACTCACGTGGTATTTTTTTTTAATTAAATACTAAAACGTTAGTTTCATGTTGCATGTTTTATTTTATTTGGAATACTTATTCTTGGCACCACTGATGCATGTGGCACGAGGCACTGATTTTATATCGAATAATTGCAGATGCTCCAAATCATATTTCTCAAATATTTTTAATTAAGTCTTAGAATTCGCACAACTTTTGACGTCAGTAATTGGCAATTTACTTGCTTTTATTAAGTTCTTTGTTGCTTAAGACCGTTGCATTCCGCATAGAATCGGCAATGGGCAATTAGTTTTTCTAAAGCTTGGTCCCGCGATGCATATCGCTTCGGTTGTTTAACGTACACTCAAGCTGCAGCAGACAGACGCAGGTAGCCCCCAAAATACGTTACAGTGCCGTTGCCATTGACAATCCCTATCGGCAAAAAATCGTGCATGGGTAGTAAACCAAAGCATTATTATACTATAATGTTAAAATTGCTAAACTTCAAGTTGTAGTAGTATTTGACTTGGCTAGTAACATATTTGGCAAATATTTAGCTACTCTGTGTTGTACATGTTGGCAGCTACCAAATTTTATTTACGAAAATAATTATAATATATTCTAATACCCGGTTGTTTTCGAAAATTATTAAACTTATTCTATGTGTATATGTAGATCCTTCAACTTTTTGTTGCATATATATATTATATTTGTAGATGCTCGTCGTAACATTCATGACGTCGCTTTTAAAGTAGTCGTATAACTGACATCAAATATGCAGAACCAAAAACGGAATCCTTGTTTAAAATATCTAAAAGTGCTGATGCGCGTCTTCGGAATGATTCGATAAAGGCGTCCATAGTTAGCCGATTATAACATAAACTACAGATATACATAGATCACTGTTTGTAAGTGTGGTAGTAAATGACATAATTTTAATGTATAATTGAGTAATAGTGCATTTATAGCCTTTTTCAATATCATTTGAAAACAATCCCTCTAATCCCAGGTTCGACGCAGATGAAATGTAGTACTTCAAATTTAAGAGTAATGGTAATAAGAATGTTGTAACGAAACAACTATAAAACGCTACGCTATCCACTGCATTTGGCAATAACGGCAATTATTTCATTTATACTACTTTTTTCTGCATCGGTCCTTTGACAGTTTTGGCGAAATACCCTTTAGGTTCATTATTTATACTTTATTAATGTCAGCTTTGTGCTGGTGAAACTGCATTTGCGAGCTCGTCAATTTCGTTCGTATTGAGCACATTTTTCACTACCCGCCTAAAATTTCTTTTTCCTGACTTAGATGGATCCTACCTCCAATTTATAAGTGATTTATCTAACATTTGGATTTGGGCGTAGTGTATTGATTTCATTTAGGCGTTTAAATCCTTTTAAATGGAATGTAAAATACCAGAGAAATTTAGACGTAATGGAATAATTTGTAACGATCTATTTCTGAATTCAGTCGGTATTTGCTTGCGTTTTTGTTTATTGTTTTTTTATTTGCAACCGCTCGTTTTTCTCTTATCATTGTGGCATGGTCGCCATTGGCTGTCG